CAACCCACCTGCTGCGGGCTTGACTGGCCCCACCTCATCAAAAGCCCCAGCTCCACTAATATTCCCATCCAAATTGCCATCCCCACAGGCACCTTTATCCCCACCCCCACTGACATCCCCAAGACCAGCCCCAACTCCATCAACACCCCCAGCCCCTTTGATATTTCCATCCTCATCCCCATCTCCATCCATTCCTTTTCCCCATCCACCTTCCTATCCTCATCTCCTTGCCATCCTCATCTCCATCCCCATCCCATCCCCACCTCACCCCACGTGCAGTCCCAGGTGGATGTCACCTTGTTCCCCTATCCCTGCCCATCAGCCCACTCCTGCATGCCCCCTGTGTGGGATGCAGGGGGACCCGCCTCACCGAGTCAATGAGGATGAAGGCACCAGGGTGGCGCTGGGTGACTCCAGCCCGTTGAAGCCGCATTGTCACCTCGTAAGGGGTGCTGGGCTCGAAGCAGAAGGGCCGGGACAGCAGCACATACCTGTGCAGAGGCAAGAGTTAGGGCGCAGGCACGCCAGGGCCATGGGGACAGCCAGGGGACAAGCAGCAGCACCCAGCCACCTTCCTAGTCCTTGTCCCTGTCCCCAGCCCCATCCCTCATCTAGGTGACAGGACTGTCCTTCTTTCCATCCCATCCCCCTCCCTCGGTTTGGAGTGTGGCAGGGCTGCCCTTGTCCCTGCCCTGTCCTGATCCCTGTCCCCATCCCCACCAATCCTCATCCCATCTCCATCCTTGTTTTCATCCCATTCCCATTCTCATCCCAATCCCCATCCTCATCCCACCCTCATCCCATCTCATCCCCTTCCCATGCCACCTCTGGCTGTGGGGCAGGCTCTCGCGGTACATCTGCTCGGAGGGCAGCAGGTTCCCACAGCGAGGGCTGGTGGGCAGCACCCGGGAGCTGACGCTGACCACGGCTTCCCAATCCTCGGCCGACTGCAGTGACAGATAAGCAGGTGTCAGGGCCTTGCTGTGCCACACATGCAGTGGCCATGGCCGTGGCCATAGCCACGCTCACCTCGGGCTCGTAGCGCAGCAGCAGCTCGTAGTCCATGGGGTAGGGCACGTTGTCCACTCGGAAGGTCAGGCCAGCCCCGTCCCGCACCCGGGCAAAGCCTGAGCCTGTCCACGTCACCATGCGCCCGGTGCCGTCCCGCACCACCTCCTCCACATCTGGCTGGGCAGGGCATTGGCACCGCTCGGCCCTGGCCTCCTTGGCTCTGCCCCTGGTGCCCTCTGCCCCACAGCGCCCAGCCCTGCCCCATGCCACCCCCTGGGCTCACCTTGGGGGGCTGCTGGCGGGTGCGGCGTGGGGGGATGCGGGGCTGGAGGGTGCGGGGGGAGCTGCGGTGGGGCCGTGGGTGCCCCTTCCGGCCCCCAGGCTCCCCAGTGTCATACTCCAGGCAGTCTGGGGGCACCTCGGCCCGGACAGCGCCCTGTGGGGATGGGGTCAGGGGATGGGAGCCATGCACAGAGACAGCCATGCATAGGGCATGGTGACAGCCACATGCAGGACAGGGTGACAGCCACACATGGAGCACAGCCATGCGTGGAGCATGGTGCACGGTGACAGCCATGCACAAGCCGAGGCTGGGAGTGCAGGGACCCCTCCCAGGAGACTCACCGGGAGCTGGGGGTGGCCATGACCATGGCCAGTGGCCTGCTCAGCCTCATAGGTGTAGTAGTCAAGGTGGGCACAGAAGAAGCCGGGCTGCACCTGGTCGCACTGCCGCCCCATGAGGTGAGGACGACAGGGACATGCCCCATCCTCCATGGAGCACCTGGGAGTAACAGTCTTATCCCTTTATCTTTCCTTTTTTCTGGCTCTGTCCTCACCCATTCCTCCTTCCATCCCTGTCCCCATCCCCAATCTCAGGATGGAGATCCAACCCCTCCATGCCTTCATCCTAGCTCCGTCTGTGTCTCCAACCTTGTTCCCATCCCTCCACCGATATCCTTGTCCTTCCTTCCCTCTGTGTTTAACCCCCAGCCCCATCCCCACTCCCGCCCCCCATCCCCATGCCCGGCCAGGTGCTGTGCTGGGCCCCACCGGTTGCTGTCGGCTCCTCCGA